CGAGGGTGGGGCTGGGGTGCCCACTAGCTCAGGCACCACTATAGTTACCAGAATGGAGATGCGCAGACAGCAAGGGACCAATGAACAGCTACCAAAAGAGAAGAATGTCCACACCTTTATCTCAGCGGTTCTGCCAGGTGTCTGTGGCCGTTCCGATCTTTCCCCCATGTGGTCTCACCCAAGATGGCGGCTCCAGGAGCAGCCGAGTGTCCCGGACTAGAAAACAATAGATTTCTTGCTTCTGCCACAGATTCCCCCAGCTGTGAGCCTTCCAACCTTCTAAGTATTCCATTATATGTGGTTCAGAGTTCTGGGACCATCCCCTGAGCCTGCTTGGTCGGGTATTCTGTGTTGTTGTTGGCGGAGCTCTCTGCTATACATCCACCCGATCCGCTATCTTGTTTGTTCCTTCTATACAGTTGTCTTTTATAAAAGGTATTTTCAATGAATAAGTCATTGATATTGCAAAATTCTGTCATGTGATCTTAAGCATCGTTTCTTTTAACACTAAGGCCATATTTTTCAACTACTGATCCTTCCTCTTTGTTTCCCACCTTTGTATTCCCTTTACCCATAGTTATCAATACATCTTGATTGTATGTTTGATCAATTTCAGACTGAAGGAGTTGGTTGTTTTTAAGTTTAGTGAGTTCCAACTCATAGCGACCCTATATAGCGTTTCTGAGGAGCATCTGGTGAGTTTGAACTACCTACCTTGCGGTTCAAACTGACCTTGAGTTCTAGTGTTTATCCTATGGCACCAATTCTTCAATTTCATTATCACAGACTTTTGTGGTTGGTGGATAAATTCTACTAATAGTGGTATTTACTCATCTTCCTTATGTTGTTGTTGTTAGGTGCCATCAAGTCAGTACCGACTCATAGCGACCTTATGCACAGCAGAATGAAACACTGTCTGATCCTGGTCCAACCTCATTATTGTCGTCACGCATATGTATATAATCACAAACATATTGTATATCAAGGTAGATCTTGAAACGTTCTTTTTGATGATGAGAGCTACTCCACTCTTGAATTTGTTGTTCTTAGCATAGTAAACCAAATGATTGTCAAAACTGGCCAATACTAGTCAATTTCATCGCACTAATACTTAGGATATTGATCTTTATGTGTTGAATTTTGTTTTTGACAACGTCTAAATTTTCTGGATATATACGTCATACGTTCCACTTTCTGATTATCAGTACATGTTTACAGCTGTTTTTCCTCATTTTGAGTTGTACGCATCAGCAAATGAAGGTCCTGAAAACTTTACTTCATTCTCATCATCACTGTTAGCTCTACTTTGAGGAGTTAACTCTTCTTCAGATGTATTATGAGTGCCTTTCAAAGTGAGTGGCTCATCTTTTGCCACAGTATCTGACAATGTTCTGCTGCTGTTTATAAAGTTTCTAGTAGCTAAACATTTAGAAGTAGTCCACCTCTCCTTCTATTTAGTCTGGAATTTCTGTTGAAACCTGTCCACCATGGGCAATCCTGGTGTTTAAAATACCAGTGGCAAAGCTTCCAGCATCACCGCAACATGGAAGCCATCACAGTATGACAAAGTGACAGACGAGTGGTGATCATGACTCAGTAGTAATCTATAACAAATGGATGTTTGAGTTGCTTCCTTTTTTTTTTTTAACTATTATGGGCAACTGTACTTGGAGCAATTTCATATGTGTCACTGAGATATTGGTGCAGTATTTTTCAATTATTTACTTATTAAGGAGTAAATAAAAGGAGATCTACTGGTACAGTGGTTAAAGCAGTTGGCTTCTAACTGAAAGGTTGGCAGTTCAAAATCACCAGCTACTCTGTATGAGAAATAATGTGGTAGTCTGCTTCCATAATAATTTGCAGACTTGGAAAACCTTACGGGACAATTCTACTCTGAAAAACTATGGATTGAAACTGACTCATTGGCAAAGCGTTATACTTGTTAGGATATGTCCATAAGTAATAGTTTAAAAATGCCGAACTTTTCTAAAATGCTTGTGCCAAATTTATATTAATAGTGGGCAGAGCATAGGAGATTCTATTGTTGTATACCTTTTTAAAGACTTGCATTATTACTGTTATTGTTAAGTGCCATTGAGCCAGTTCTGACTCATAGTGACCCTGTGTAGGGTTTCTGAGGAGTAGCTGGTAAGCTTGAACTACCAACTTTGTGTTTCAAACGACCTTGCAGTCCAGCGCCTTAACCCACAGCATCATACCAGGACTCGTAAAGACTTGGCATTAGCAGACTCTTATTAAGCAGCTTTGTCGAGGTATAACATATGAAGATCAGTCAATAAGTCTCACTACTAGGGTTCTAGTTCATACATGCATGGATTTATTCCAAATAAAATGTGTTTTGACATGTCAGTGATCATTGACCAACTGCAGACATGTTTTTTCAATAATACACTTGTCTTAGTTGTGGTACCTTGAATTTGCTTGATATGACTTTTCTATCCAGTGTCTTAATTCCCACCAAGTGATTGGGTGGGACCATGCAAACAAATATATACAGGACTCTAAGCCTGGGATGGTTAGTTTTGCCCTTCAGCTAGTTTTAAAAGGAGCCATTTCATAAGCAGGAATGGAAGAGTTCAAGACAATCAATAAGGAAGAGCATGAATGGAATGTGAGAGCCCTACCTAGAAAAACAATCACGGTATGGATGGCAGAGGCTGTGGCATGGAGAGACGGAGCAGCTGCAGGCTCTAGATCCATGGACTAAGACAGAAGCCAAGGGGCCACTTGGCTTGGAGTATTGCAGTATGGCAGACAAGAGGTGTTCCTGATTGGAGTACGGCTGTTTCCTGAGTTGGTTTTGATCCTGAATTGTACCCTGTTCACTTCCTTAATAAACCCCATATTCATGAGTATTGTTATGAGTTCTGTGTGGCCATTTCAATGGATTGTTGAACCCAGATGTCAAGCAGAGAGTGCTGTGGGAGGGATGTTTGGTGTCAGAATAAGATAAGGTTGTAGGATGGAAGCATGTCTGACCTTGTGGCATTAACCCTCAGCACCACACCAAGATTCCATAACACTATATTTATGTATGTGTTTGTATATTTATATATTTATGTAGTTGTTGAGTGCCGTCATTGGTTCTGACTTACAGGGTTTCTGAGGCTTTAAATCTTAGTGGGAGCAGAAAGCCTTATCTTTCTCTCAAAGAATGGCTGGTGGACTTGAACTGCTGACCAGTGCTTATTGTATAGAGTCACCATGCTCCCCCTATATATGTATTTATGACTACTTTATAAAGTTTTAAATCTCAGTTGCACATAATATAAGGAACACTAATTTTGACATACTTGTATTAAGGTCTCAGAATTGTTTTCTTATTTGGTAGGAAGCAGTAGAGAAATATGAAGAAATACTACATAACTTGGAATTTGCCAAGGAACTTCAGAAAACCTTTTCTGGACTGAGTCAAGAAGTAAGTATGTTTTCTTAGCTTTTCCAGAAACTAGTCACTAACCTTGAGGAGAATATGTCTAATAATGGTATTTGATTACCATCCTTGTATTTACTATGAATGATTTATTGGAGGTGGTGGGGTTGACAATACCTACTGAAGAGCTAGTTTTTCCAGATTTCTAGAGTTGCAAGAGAAGACAAATGATACCTGAATGTGAGACATTGTGAATAAAGTTAGTTCTCTTATTATGAATATAGTGTTATTTCACTATAGCATTACAGAACATCATTGAGGGGAAGAATAATAAAAAAAAACTATTTTGATAGGGTTGTATACTGAAAGTGTGTGATTAATAGGCTTAGCTCTGGTAGCGTAGTGGTTATGAATTGGGCTACTAACCTCAGGGTCAGCAGTTCAAAACTACCAGCTGTTTCACAGGAGAAAGATGAGGCTTTCTGCTCCTGTAAAGATTTACAGCCTCGGAAACCCTGTACAGGGTCGCTATGAGTCAGAACCGACTCCGTGGCACATAACAACAACACCAACAATCCTTTTATAATGTAAGTTTGTAAGTGTAGTGGTAGTCAGTATAAGGAAACAGAATTTTTAGACTCTGCCTCTTAAAGGTGTGATAATTTATTAGGAGACAAATTATGTGATACATTATCAGATGAAGAGATTTAATTCTAACCTCACCACCACCTATTAGACTCACTATGTTGTTCATTGAGAGCTTATGTCTGACAAATTTAATCAGCAATTAATCTGAAATTTTTAGCATTTATTAATGAAGTGTATTTCCCTGTTTCAGGATTTTTGTATTAGAAGGCCCTGTAAAGGTCCTGGTCTATTAATTAAAGATATTCATTCCTGGGATGTGGAGCATACTTCTTAAGACAGTTTCTTCTAGTTTTTGAATATTTTCTCTTTACTGTGAACTAAAGTTATTCTTTTGACATAACAATAGTTTTGTTTTTTTTTTTTTTTTTGCTATTTTTGTCCTTGCAATAGGTTGGTCTCTGGATGTCTGGTCTACTTATCAGTGAGCTCTGAAAAGAAGTTACGCAGTTCTAAAATAGGGTAGTGTAGATTCACATTTTATATACAACACATTTCTCATTTACAACAATAGTGAAAAATCCTCCTCTCTGACTATTTTGTGCATTAATGACATATGTCTGGCATTAACAAATGGCAAGAGTGCAAAGGATGAATCACACTGGCTGTGATATGTCCACTTGGTTAAACATGATTCTGAGACCTTAATACAAATTCTGAGACCTTAATACAAATATGGTTTGCCAGTTGTTAATGATGTAGTGTGACAGTTATTTAATAATGTAGTCATTCTTCATTTTCACATAAAAGCTGTTCTTTTTGTATACAATGTGCTTCCACAGCTGTAATTTAGAGATCAAATCCAGACCTCTAAATTTTATTAATGCTAAAGGTTGTCTTTGCTTGTTTGTACTAATGAGATGCTCAAGTATTTTGGAGCGGGCCTGTCAGTCTGTTTTTGTTTCTCTGATCATTTTTTTCTCCTCTTTTTATTAAAAATTTTCTTTTGTCAGACTTCTATGATAGCCATCTTTTTAATGCTTTTATTGTGAATTGAGTGATAGTTTACTTGGGAGATCATTGGTTTTGCACTCAACTAGCCATATTTTGTTTCATTGCAGTGATTACATTCCCCACCATGCACCATCAGTTAACAGTGTTTGTTTCTATTCCCTCTGTTTGTTTGTTGTTTTTTTGTTGTTTTTTTAATGTACACAAAAACATGCAGAAATATATAATAGTTTAAACAACCAAAGGGCACATTTTGCAAGCCAACCTTCTACCCACCAGCACATAGCCTTTCTCTTTCCTTGAGTCTAGAGTCCTCAGCTGCTCTCTCTCTCTCCATATCATCTCTCGTGTTGCTGCTTCTCTGGTTAGGATCCCATGCTCCACCCATGCTCTTCTCTCTTGATGGTTCTAGGGTCCTCTGTTCTTAGAAGGTTATATTTACTACTCCCCCCTTTTTGTTATACAGCTTCTACCTTTACAATTGTGACATTCACAATTAGTCATGATAACAATTACTATTGAATCAAAAGACTCCTATCCCCATCTCCTTTCACCCAACCCATCTAGACAAGATGAAAGCTATTCAGTGGGGATTCTACCCTCCTCTGCACGCTCTGAACTAAACTTCCTCTTGAAAACTTGTAAGGCAGCCACGGTGTGCCTTTATAGTCCCCCTCCACCCCCATTTTAGGTAGCCAGTGTCTTAAGTTGTCTGTCCCTATCAGACCCTGTGTATTGAGGGGATAGGCTTGATCCTTGATGAGAAGACTCCTGCCCTCTCAGTTGGTATTTTGAGCTACTATATCCATAAGTATAAGGAGCTCTGGTAGCATAGTGGTTATAAATCGGGCTGTTAACCTCAAGGTCAGCAGTTCGAAACTACCAGCTGTTCCGTGGGAGAAAGATGAGGCTTTCTACTCCCGTAAAGGTTTATAGCCTCGGAAACCCTGTACAGGGTCGTTATGAGTCAGAACCGACTCCACGGCACATAACAACAACAACATATCCATAAGTACAGGTCAAGTTCGTCAAATTGTAGCAATTTTACTTGCTTCCTTTATCAAATTTCTTTATCTTCCTCTAGTCGAGTTCTGATCATCAAGCCATCCAAGCTAGGTCAAACGGGTACTATCTGTAAGTTTGGGTGTTCTGATTCTCTCCGCACTTCCTATCAGCTGCATGCTTCACTCTCAGTTCAGCCCTCCAAGGCTGGGTCAGTGTCCATGGCTCTGGAGTTCCCAAGTCTTATGATTGCCATTTTTTGAAGTTTGTGGAATATTTTCTTCTTTTATACTAAAGTTAGAAGAAGCCTTTCTGCTCAACTCAGGCACATTCTTTGTTTTCAGAAAATGAGGTCTGTCCCCTAAGGGGAATTCATCTTCTCAGTCATGGTTCAGAAAGTAAATTCTGCTATTCAGTACCACTGACTGTCAGTGGTTTACTTCATATGCCCTTCTGTTTCCAAAACTGGTTCTCAACTAAAAGAAGAGAATAAAACATAACTTACTGATTTTTTGAAAAATCTGTTTATTCTTTTTATCTGCAGAGATAAATTCAAGATTTTTTGTTATTGGTCTTAGTTTCCATATAAATAAGGAGAATAGGCTGTAACATTTGATCATGGTCTAAGACAGTATACTTCTTCCTTCTTGATTCATTTGAGCTCTTATATGTCAGGATCTGTGCTGGACGTTAGTGATACATTGAACACCCAAGATACGTGGGCAAGTCATAAGAGCATTGTTTCTAGGGTTCCAATTTTTATATGCACAGGTTTATTCCAAAGGAAATGTGTTTAAACACATCTCTGCTATCAGTGGATGGCTAGAGACAAGTTTTCTCAGTAACACACTAACCTTAGTCTTGTTAGGATACCTTAAGAAAAAATAATCCATCAAAATAGTGGGTTTCTGAAAGGATACGGCATAGAGGTTAGCTCAGAAGGTTATGGTGGCTGGTTTTTTTGGGTTCCCAAAGGGGTAGTCTTAATAGATTTTCTCAAAGGACACAGGACAGCCATGAGTCTTATTATGAAGGTTAAAAAAAATTGAAAACTGCATTGGTGAGAAAAAGGTATTTCCATCATGCCAGTGGACCTGTTCATTCTTCAAGGGCAGCAATGGCTGTCCTAAGAGAATTTCCTTGGGAAACTTTATCCCATCCATCCTACAGTCCTAATCTTTCCTCTTCAGACTTCCTTTTGTGCCCCAAATGCAAACAACATTAAAAAGGAACACACAGTCTGAGTCCCTCAAGGATGCTAAAACTGCCACTTTGACTGGTGTAAATCAGGACTCAAGGATGCTAAAACTGCCACTTTGACTGGTGTAAATCAAAGAGTGCAGAATTCAAGGAAGAGTTGCAGATGGAAGCACTGCTTTTAGAAATGTATAGACCTAGATGGGGAGGAACTGATGAGAAACAGTAGTTTTACATTTTTAATAAGGGTTTCTGTGACTATATAGCAATACTTTTGACTAATCCTTGTGTAGTCTGTGATCGTGGAACTGTAATCTACGGGAGGATTCAGATAAATTCAAAATTAACAATTCAGTGTGATAAACTCTTTTGATAGGAGGAATTCAGGGTAGCAGGATCCAAAAGAACACCAACCCCTTGGGAGGTTGGTTAAACTGAGATCTGAGGTAATCATGTGATATAACCTCAAAGATGTCATGAATTTTGATTGACAGTTTTATGATGGTATAGGGAAAGGCAAAGCCAATTCCTCTATCTTGGAGAGCTAGAAGTGCCAGTTCAATCCTTTTCCTTCCTTTCTTCAGGTAGAAACTAAGAATCCTTTGACTTTGTTAAGTGTTGGTGCAGTGCTGCGTTGAAGTTTTGGAAAGAGCCTAAACAAGCCTCTGTATGATTGTCAACATAATCCCTAACTAGTTAATTTCTCTTCTCAAACATTTTTCTGTTCACCAATTGTCTCCTGTCCTCCTGTAAACATAAAAAAATTCATCCAGTGAACATAAGTAGTAGAACATGTCAAAATTAGTTGGCTGCCATACCATTTAGGAAGGGATCCAGAATATGCCACCAGCAATTTTTTTTTCCTGAAGTTTGTTCCCAAATTCTAGTCTTTTACATTTTTTGCATGTTTAAAGTATTGAATCTATATCAAAGTACTTTATCTATTGGGCATTTTTAAAAGAAGACTTATATTTCCTTTTGTTTTCATAGTCGTCCTATCTTGAAAACGATCTCAGATGACATAGAACCAAAAAAGCAGCTAACTGGGGGTGGGGGTGAAGTAGCTAATTAAAGGAGTAAAAGAACTTTAGATTTCTTAGTGGAAACAGATACTGCTATTATAGTTCTGAGCTTTAGAGTACTCAGGACTGCTCAGTCCACATCCACAAACTGCTTTAAGGGATAACTTAAGTTTCACTCATTTTCCACATCATTTTGTCAGTTAAATGCTAGAGGATTCAGCTCTATTCAGATTAGTGGGGGGAAACTATTATAAAAATATTTCTACTTAAAAAAAAGTTTTTTGTGACTTTTAAAAAATGTTTTATTGTGAATTATATGATAGTTTACATGGGAGAACATTAGCTTTATATTCATCCTATCATATATTGTTTCATTGCCATGATTACAATCCCCTCCATGCATCATCAACCAATCAAAGGGTATACCCTGCAAGCCTGCTCCCTGGTTGTCAGCACACAGCCCCTCTCCCTCTTTGGATCTAGAGTCCCCAGCTGCTCCGTCTCTCCACGTCATCGTCTCTGCATCCATCTCTGGCATCACTGTTTCTCTGGGTAGGGTCCCACACCCTGCTCTACTCCCTTGATGGTCTCAGAGACCTCCGCTCCTGGACTGCGAAGTCAATCACTCCCCTTCTTGTGCTACAGAATGTCTACTTTTATGTTTCTAACCCTCACAGTCAGTCCTGATAACTATTATTCACTATTGTATCAGCCCTGCCCAGACAGATTGGATTCTACTAGAGATTCTACCTTCCTCCATGCCCTCTGGATCTAGAATCCCTCTTGAAAGCTTGTAAGCCGATCACTTATTGTCTTTGTAGCACCCCCATATTGGGTAGCCAATGTCCAAGTTGCCCATCTGAGTCTGGCCTATATATGGCGGGGGGGGGCATGGTCCTCACTGTAAGGATTTGTTCCCTCTTTAGAGCTGCTGCATCCAGAGGTGTAGGTCAAATTCATCAAATTATATCAGATTATTCCTTTTTTCCTCCTCTTCTTCTAGTTGAGCTCTGATCATCCAGTCATTGAAGCCAGGTCAAGTGGGTTTTATCTGCAAGTGTGGGTGTTCTTGTGCATATGCCCTCTCTTCTTACCACTCTCCACTTCACTCTCCACTCTAGTCTTCTGTGGCTATGTCACTGACTCTGGGCCCAAGAGTCTACAGGTCTTTGCCACACTGCTGGTTAACCAGGTCTCCACCCGGATTAACCAGGAGTCTGTTGAACGTTGTAAGGCTTAGCTCGCAGCTTCACTGCTGTTTTTCCCTCACTTTCCCTTATTGGTGACAAATGTCACCAATCAGTGTGCATGTCTGCTCATGTATTCCCATTGAGTTTTAGTCTTGGAAGGAGGTTTGCCCTGAGGGGACCTGACCACTTGCCTTGATGTCTCCTGGGCGAGCAACTTGCTTGTTCTTGAAGTAATCAGTCGAACTGCCATTATTGTTTATATTTTTCCTGTTGGTCTTTCTTTGAAGAAGTATCTTCTGCTCTTCTAGCCGCTCCAGGCTGGTCTGCTTGTCCTTTCAAGTGGAAATTTCCCACCTCAGAAGATTCTGGATGCTATTCAGGATTCCACCTGTGGTCTTATGTAATGCAGAGACTCAGCAGGAAGCCTCCTTCCTGGGCACGTTGTAACCCCATTTTAGGTATTCCAATCAGTTATAGGCAGAAGACGGACTTACAAGCTTTCTGTGGTGATATTTCTGGCTGTTACTTTCTCTTCCCCTCTAGTGTCTAGTTTATAATGGTATGCCAGGGAAACCAAGATTCAAAAGACAGCCAAGCATCTTAACATTATTTCCCCACTCCAACCATGTCTGTGACTGTTTTTTGACTGACTCCATTTGTAAGACATTTTACATCTGTGTTTGATTTTCTGCTCTTTCTGTCTTACCCAATCTTCGGTTGATGGCATAGCAACCATGGTAGTACCCTTCTTTGGAACCTGACAGTAAAATAAAACCTTAAAGCACTGTTAAGATTTTGGCCTAGCCCTATACTTAATGGATGTAGTAGCTCAAAATACCAACTGAGAGGGAAGGAGTCCTCATCCTACCTCTTCTGTATACAGGGTTGATAGGGAAGGGCAACTTAGTGCCCATCCTAAAATGGGAGGCTATAAAGTCACAAGGTGACTGGCTTACAAGTTTTCAAGAGATGGTTTAGTTCCAGAGTGTGTGGGGGAAGGTAGAATCGCACTAAATTGTTTTCATCTTGTTTAGACAGGTTGGGTTAAAGGAGATGGAGATAAGATTCCTATGATTCAATAGTGAGTAATTGTTGTTATGACTAATTGCGACTGTCACAGCTGTAAAGGTAGAAGTTTTGTAACATAATGTGGGGAATAGTTAATCTTATGGCCCAGGAACAAAAGATCCTAGGACCATGAAGGGAGAAGAGCAGAAGTGGAATAATTCTGGGACCCTATCCAGAGAAGCAGTGAAACCAGAGATAGAGGCAGAGATGAGGACGGAGAGAAAGAGCAGCTGAGGGCTCTAGACTCTTGGAAAGAGAAAAACTGTGTGTTGGCTGCCAGGAGGCAAGCTTGCAAAATGTGCCCATTGGTTGTTCAAATGATTATATATTCCTGAGTATTTTTGTGTATATCCAAAAAAAAAAAACCGAGAGGGAGTAGAAACAAATACTGTTGAATGATGATGCACGGAGGAGATTGTAATCATTGCAATGAAACGATGAGTGTAAAACCGTTGTTCTCCCACGTAGACGATCACTCAATTCTCAATAAAAAACTTAAATAAAAAGCAAAAAAAAACACACCATAGTTTATTAATCTACTCATTATCATTTAACTACTTGTTTTAAATTTCTTAATAAAAATTGAGACCAAATAGTAAAACCTTGGCCGAAAAAAGTCTTGCCATACACAAATGTGGAAAAATAAATTTAATGATTAATACAAGTACCAGGGATTGATACTATTACTTCTTATCATGGTGATATATTGTTGTTGTTAAGTGCCATCGAGTCGGTTCCGACCCACAGCAACCCTGAACAGGGTTTCCGAGGCTGTAAATCTTTACGGGAGCAGATAACCTCATCTTTCTCCCATGGAAC